GTGCCTTGAGATGACATGTGTTGTGAATTTGGCACTATATAAATAAACTGAATTGAATTGAACTACCCAAGGAGCTCAGAGACAGAATTGTGGCAAGGCACAGATCTGGCCAAGGTTACAAAAGAATTTCTGCAGCACTCTGCAGGTTCCTAAGAGCACAGTAGACTCCATAATCCCTAAATGGAAGAAATTTGGAACAACCAGAACTCTTCCTAGACCTGGCTGTCCAGCCAAACTGAGCAATTGTGGGAGAAGATCCTTGGTCAGAGAGGTACAGAAGAACCCAAAGATCACTGTGACTGAGCTCCAAAGATGCATTAGGGAGATGGGAGAAAGTTCCTCAAAGTCAACTATCACTGCAGCCCTCCATCAGTCTGGAGTTTATGGCAGTTGCCAGACGAAAGCATCTCCTCAGTGCAAGACATTTGAAAGCCTGCATAAAGTCTGCCAAAAAACACACGAAGGACTCCCAGACTATGAGAAAGAAGATTCTCTGGTCTGATGAGGCCAAGACTGAACTTTATGGCAGCGGTCCCCAACCACCGGGCCGTGGACCGGTACCGGTCCGTGGGTCATTTGGTACCGGGCCGCACAGAAAAAAGTATATATACATAGCCTATATAATTTATCGATGATCAGAGTCTGAGTGATGTTTCATTTTGAAAAATGTAAAAAATTGCGGTATTCTCTCCCAATTACATCAGTCGGTGCATCTGTTCCTTTTGACACAAGTTAATTCAGTTCAAGACGCATCCTATCTATAACATCCTATCTTTGTGAAGCGGGATTTTCTGCAGTTACAGCGACCAAAACAAAGCTACGGAGCAGATTGGACATCAGGAGCACACTTCGTCTGTTATTTCCTCCGATTACGCCTAGATGGGACCGGCTTGTTGTTTTATTTTTATGCTGTTTGTATTTGATTTTATGCCAGTCGTATCATTTTACTTGATCATATTCCCCCGCCCCGGCCGGTCCGTGAAAATATTGTCTGACATATAGCGGTCCGTGGTGCAAAAAAAGGTTGGGGACCGCTGCTTTATGGCACTGATTTTAACCGGCATGTGTTCAATACAATCCCAACAGTGAAACATGGTGGTAGCAGCATCATGCTATGGGGGTGTTTTCAGCTGCAGGGACAGGATGACTGATTGCAAATGAAGGAAATATGAATGCAGCCAAGTACAGAGATATCCTGAAAGAAAACCTCTTCCAGAGTGCTCACAATCTCAGAAGACCGAAGGTTCACCTTCCAACAAAACAATGACCCTAAGCACACAGGTAAAATAACAAAGGGGTGACTTGGGAACAACTCTGTGACCATTCTTGACTGGCCCAGCTAGAGCCCTGACCTAAACCCAAATAAGCATCTCTGGAGAGACCTGAAAACAGTTGTCCACCAATGCGCACCATCCAAACTGACAGAACTGGAGAGGATCTGCAAGGAAGAATGGCACAGGATCCCCAAATCCACATGTGAAAAACCTCTTGCATCATTCCCAAGAAGACTCATAGCTGTACAAGCTCAAATGGGTGCTTCTACTCAATTCTAAGCAAAGGGTCTGAATACTTATGACGACATGATATTTGTTTTTCTTTTTTAATACATTTTCAAAAACCTCTAATATTTTTTTTTATTATTTTTTTCCTATCAAGATGGGATGCTGAGAGAACATTAATCAGACATAAAATGAACTTTATTGATTTTAGCAAATAGCTGCAATAAAACAAAAAATGAAGAAATT